TAGCAATATATAAGGGTTACGTCTGAAAAGGAACATACTTGATCAAAGCGATCCTTTGGATTATCCGCTAGAAGGCTGTTGACATGGCATACGAAAAGTGGGATGTATTCTTCCGCCCACTCAAAACTTTCTTTAATTTGTCGTTCCCAGTAATTTGTTTTCAAAGCGTCCCTGCGAACATTTTTAGTATGACGACCATTGAAAGAGAGCGAATACGCCAGTCCTTGACCATTCTTGGCGTCTAAAAGTTCAGTGAGACTGTCTATATACTCATTCATGACTGTGGTAAATGTGCGCGGAAGTTAAGCAAAAGACAAGTGTGTGCATATTAGCTTCTGGACATGTATCTTTAATTGTTTATGAAATATATACCATATATATGTTCCTACTGCCCAGAGGTGGCTATTCTTTATTTTCTTCTTTCACCACTGCAGAGTACTGGCTGCTCACTGCACCCTATTTATCTATAGAATTTATGAATGAATACTCTTACATAGTGTATTATCATATAGCCTTCAGAAACATAGCCTTCTAACGAAACATAGCCTTCTAACGAAACAGAGCCGTCTAACGAAACATAGCCTTCTAACGAAACATAGCCTTCTAACGAAACATGGCCTTCTGACGAAACAAATCCAACATAAATATCGAATATATTTATGTCCACGATACGACTTGTTTCATTTTTATATATATTATTTTTTTACATTGTAGATGACGAAAATGGCGATTAGTGATTGTGCACTGTGAGTGGCGTGAAATTGGAAATTGCCGCCTTTTTCCCGCCAAAATCAATATTTTTTAGGATTTTTGATTACATGATGTGGATGTAAAAAAAAAATTATCAAAATTTTATATTGTATGGTTGTATGCCGTACGGCGTATGGTGCGATTTTTTTTTGAATATGCCAATTGCCAGGAGCAAGCAAAGCGAGTGACTTTTGATTAATTCGAAAAGGGAAAAGAAGAAAAAAAGGAGGGCCTTTAGGAGGGCGAAGCCCTCCCAGGCTGACCATCACAAATAAAGATAAGAACTGATGACTGTATATTTCTTATGTATTTATCATACATTATATACATGCAATCTGTCACAACTAGGGCTAGGACTACCAATAACTAAAGTATATCAAGATGGTTCTCCTCACCTGT